CACCCCCCCTTCCTGCTCCTCCTCCTCCCCCCCCCTCCTCCTCCTCCCTCCTCCCTCCTCCTCCTCCTCCTCTCCTCCTCCTCCTCCTCCTTCATCATCATCATCATCATTCATCATCATCATATCATCCTGATCCTCATCCTCGTCCTCCCCCTCCCCCTTGAACTTCTTCTCTTCCTCCTCCTCCTCCTCCTCCTCCTCCTCCTCCTCCTCCTCCTCCTTCTCAAATGTATACAACTCCCCTATCTGATTGCGGTCGCTTAGGGTGCGTAACCAGCGCTGGGGGCGAGCGCATTTCAGCATCTCGTGTCGCTTCCTCCTCCCCTTACTCTCTCTTCCCTCCTCGTCCGCGTCTCGGTGCCAGTTTGTTGGTCGCTCTGTCTGATCCCATGTGCGCTTACATTGCGACTGAATTCTTCCCTTCGCGATGCGCAGTGTTGTTACAACTTGCAGTGCACGAGCTCGCTTGTCCGTGTTGAGCGCGGTTGGGATAGCTTTCCTGAGGACAGCGGATATTTAGACTCGTTCCTGGCTGTCTTCCTTGAAACGATTCCCCGTTCTGATTCCGCATCACTCGATTGGGTCATGTTGGGGATAGACGTTCGGTAATACACCCGTCTGGGGATAGAGAAGTTCATCGCGATCTGAAGGGATGGATGAGGGGTAGGATGACAAACTTGGCGCGAACTCGCCCAGCTGGCCCCATCTACTTCTCCACCTCCCCTCTTCCCCTATCTTCCCTCCACCCGACTCACCCCTACGAGGCGAATGATGATAAAGAGGATTTTCGGCAACATACGCAGCAGGAATGGGAGTAGCAGGGGCAGGATAGACATGACTTGCTTCAGCAGGGGACAGGGTCGAGAGAAGCAGGAAACACCTTCCCCTGAGAAGTTGAGTCGCATACGAACTAGAACTTGGAAAACAACACAACTGAAGCCCCCGACGCCATCTTTCAACATCGAGTCTCGAGTCGATCCGCGAGTGGCCGAGGGTCCGAAGTCGGGGCAACCACGCCCGTCGTTTTCGTTCCGTGACGCCTGGATGTCAGGATCCCTCCTCGTCGTCCGTCCATTGGGACTTGGAGACGGATCCCAGCGCGGTGACGAGAGTCGCCCCCCCCCCCCCCTCCAAAGAGGCTAGGAAACTGCCAAGAACGCGAAGACTGAGACGGCGACGACGGCGGCGGCGACGGCGCAGTTGCCCAGACGTTCTTCCCAGCGTTGCCCTGGAGGTCGTCGGGGGCCCCAGGGCGCTTCCGAGCGGCTGCGCCTCGTCGACAAGCCTTCCGGGGAGCCCTGTCACGAGGTGCCCCCCTGAGATCCGAGGCATGGCCTGAGAGCGAGCCAGGACGACAGCGACAGCGACGACGACAACCTCCTGCAAATTCGGACCCAGGCCTCTTACGGAGGGTCCTCGCCGCCATGGTTGGATGTTCCTCGGAAGCCTTGTGAAAAGGGGGCTGTGGGAGAGGTCCAGGGGTTGACTCTGGAGCGACGACGGAGACGGCGAGGGCGGCGGTGGCGGCGGCTGCGGCGGCGGCGGCGGCGACGGCGACGACGACGACGACGACGGCGACGACGACGACGGGGGTGTCGGGTCGAGTTCTGCAGGGGCCAGGTCAATTCGCCGCACTTTGACATCACCGCATGTGAGTTCGCGGCGGCCGGGGTGAAGGAGGACCCGGCCCCCCCCCGCAGGGCCCAGGCTGGTTCTTGGCCGCCCAACTGTGCCGTCGCCAACGTCGTGGATACGTGGCCTCAGATGCTACGCCATCTTGTCGGCGCTCGCGTGCAGCGCCTGGTCACTCACGCGCAGTCGGCGTTCAGTGTGCTCGCTGAAATGCGGAAGATGTGCTACATTGCATGCGCGATTCAGGCGAGTCGCCAGAGGTTTTGGAGGTTATCGAAGACGCCCACGGCGAGTCACCGCCATCCCCTTACATCGTGCAATCTCGAGCGAGAGTGTGACCACGCTAATGAGTGGGCTTCGTTACTTCCCCAGCTGTTGGAGAAACTACGGGGAGACACTACAGAGGAGCCCTCTGGGTGGTCTGTGGGCCGCCGAGGACGCATTTTGCAGTCGCTGGGTCCTCCTTGGGGATCTCCCCAGGCCCTCTAGGGTCATCTCGGAGCTTTCGGAGCTCGTCTCAGGGCGCTCTGTTGGACCGCCTGGTCCCTTCGGTGGCCGTATTGGGGGCCGGGTGTATCCACAAGCGGCCCGCCGCCCAGTTCGCCGACTAGATGTAGGAGTGACCTTTCGCCTGAGTGACCTCTGGTGCGGGCCCAACGGGGTGCCCCGATCACTGAGCGCGAAGCGGTAGTGGCGGCTTGCGCGCCTAGGTCTGGCCACCCCGCGTACCCCGTGAAGTCGCGCACCAAAAGTCCTCCTTGCCCAGGGCCACTCTTGCGTGTCGACGATTTTGGCACACGCCTCACGCGCCTCGTGCCCCCCAGTGGGGAGCTCCCTCTTCGTTCGTCCCACCTGCCTTGCGGTACTCGCGTTTGCATGTGATTGGGCCCTTCGCCTGAAGAAATATGTCTTGGCGCTCCGTCGGAGGGGAGGCCCGACGTTGCCCCGTTGCTCAGTGTACTGCCTGTTCGAGTCGCCCAGGCTCCGCGCTGGAGAAGACAGAGTGAGAAGTCCGACCCTCCAAGGCAGGCGGGTTCCGAAGGCATTCGGCGCTGCATCAAGTTCAAGGTGGCGCTGGCGATAAGTCTGCACCAAAACTGGCGAGGACTTCCATGGACTTTCGCCCTGGGCGCTGCCGATCCCTGGTCGATCCGAATCTTCGAGATCAGTTTCGATCCAATTCGACTCGCGCGATTCGGATCTGTGTCGATCGAATTCGGGGAGTCGAAGGGTGGACCTCTCGCCCTCGGCGAGAGCTGGCACAAGCAAAACGAGTGTGGTTCTGCCGACCGTCGATTGCGAAAAATCGGCTGGAGTTGGCGGAGGTAAGGGGTGAGACCCCATGACCCCATGGGAGGTCATCGCCGATTTCCCCAGACTTTCCAGAGCTTGCCAGCTGTCGTCGGCTCCAGGTCCCGCTCGCTTCTATGACTCGTCTTTTACACAGGCACTGTGCCGAGCTCTGCCGTCCCAGCTCACGGGCAGAGAAAATATCGCAGGTGTGGAAAGCCCATGCCTTATTCTATCAGCTTGCGGCAATCGGCAGCGTGAGCCAAGGAGAGTCCTCGCATCGCCTGGAGCACGGTCTCGCGTCCATGCAAGGCGATGGTGCCGTGCCCTTACTTCCCTCGCGAGCGCTCGACTGGGCTCGAGGAGGATGAGGTGTTCGCAGGTTGGCACATGTTTTCAAGTGCGTCCGGAGGCCTCCAGGATTTTCCAGGAGGTGGAACACCAGTAACAGGAGTAGGAGGAGGAGGAGAAACAGAAGGATGGGATGGGGAGGAATCGACGAAGAGTGAAGCGAGGGCGAGCGGGGGAGACGCTTCCCCTCCTCGCGCCCCGGTGTTTTTCCAGTCGCCCCGTGGTGCTGGGTCTTAGCTTCGGATCGGCAGCGCGCTCTCCACCTCGGCCCGCGGCCCCCTCCGGCGGCTGTTGCCTTTTTCCCCTGCCTCCGCTCTTCGCGTGTGCTCTGCGCGCCCATTGCTGCACCGCCCCATCGCTCATCAGCCGCTGCCAGCCAGACAGCAAACACGCATGGCGTTGCGCCCCCCACGCGTCGAGGGCGTGCTGACGGATCGGAACACTCAAGCGTGAGGTTTTCAGCAGGTTCTAGTGTAGGCAGCGCAGTCGTTTGATCAGCGGATGCCCTTGCCGCGTGCATGCCAGAAGGAGCGCTGCATGCTGCAACTTTATGCACGTGGGTGACCGTTCATGTCATGTTCTGGCGCTTGCTCCACGATGAACTGCAGGAAGGACTTGCATGTAACGGTTGCTGGCACGTTCGCCTGTAGCATTGGGATTTGGTCATGTAATTCCGCTCCGAGGAGAAGAAAGACAAGGACGGGCTTGGCAAAGAAGGTTCTGGTCGCGTTGCCATCTACAAGTGTTGCCGCCTGTGCCATGCCTACACCCTCGAGTGCAACTACAATTCTGGGAAGTACTCCGCATTTGGTTGGGAAAACGTCGTTGTTTGGTGTTTTTTACATTTTGGGAGCACGATCGTTTCCACTGTGGGGGACCAACCGTGTCTTCCCACGAGGCGGAAACAATCGGAACTGCAGGATCAGTTGGTCATGCGTCAATGATGCAGGCGGACGTCGTCTTGGAAACAGCCAGCCTGTGACTGCGATGGCAGTTCGAGTAAGTCCCCCTGCTCTGTCTGCGCTTGCTTCACACGATCGTGGGGGGGGGTCCCTCGACGGAGGCCAACATCGCCTCGTCGACTCTACTCCTTGGACCTCTCCGAGGGGTGCGTTCTGACTATCGAACTCCGGGGCGGATCCGGCCCTGGTCGATCGAGGGCCCGCCGGGGGAGGCCCCGAGAGGCGAAGGCGAGGGCCGTGCAGGGCACCAGTATTTGCATGCTTTTCGGCTTGCCCTCACACCTGCCCTGCTGTTACCAGTTTGAGACATGTCCCTATCCCTATCTTTGACATCACCTCACCTCGATGCCGATCTTAAGGATTCCCTCAGTTTCTGAGGGCCTATCCCTAAGATTGTCCTCGCTTTTTGCTCGCCCATCTTAGGGATAGGGATACGTTCGAGGCTGGTTATGTTGGAGCCCTCGAGAGTCGGGACGGTCGACATGGATACGGGGAAAACGGGTACGCTGCCCAACAGCAGTTCCTGTTCATTTCTGAACCGGACTCGCTGTCCGCGCCGCCACGGACGTTGCTTGTCGAAGAGGACAGGCGCCTGCCCAACGGCGGCCGCTGCCGCTTTTGGACAGCATGGGCTGTTCCGTAGACGCGCTAACGGCGATGTAGGTAATGGCGATGCAGGTTTCGGCATTGTAGGTGGGATTGATTCTTGGCCGAACCAATTGTAGGACATCGTGGGCCGTGCGTTCCTACAATTCGCCGCGCCTACAATTCGCCGTGCCTTTTTTGCTCGACACATTCGCACACCTGAAATGTAGGAACGTGTGGTTCGTGATTTCCTACAGCTTTTCCTGCGCGAGCTCGGCGTCCCAAAAGTCGGAAGCCCAACATCGCCGTTAGCCAACATCGCCGTCCGAGCGCGGCCGTTGCCGGGCATGTTTTACTTCTTGTGTTCCGCACCCTTCTCGGGCCTCCAGAAAGGGAGGAAGACACACCCGGACCGGACAACTGGCGTTTATTGAGCGGCCCTGGGCGTTTGCTAAACAGCTTTGTCCTGTTTCATTCCTTCTTTGGGTGCGTTTGGTAAACGGCTCCGCGTGTCGGGGTGGTTTTACCAGCCTGGAACATATCCCTATCCCTATGCTGGGCACCTACTCATCACGATGCCGATCTTAGGGATTCCCTTATTTTTTGAGGGCGAATCCCTAAGATTGTCATCGCCTTTTGGCGTGTCAATCTTAGGGATAGGGATACGTCCGAGGCTGGTAATGGTTCTCCTCGGGGTGGATTCTCTGCCCTCAGTGAAGGGGAAGGAGGGCACGTGCAGGGCGCCGGCGTGCAGAGGGCGTCTGGCTCGGGAGGGGGCCCTCGGCGTGCCCTGGCCTGTTCTGCGGCTGGGGCGGCGGGGGGCTGGCCAGCGTGGGGCCGCGGATCTCTGCGGCAGAGCAGTTGGCCGTCGTCATCTCCGGGGGGCAGCATCACGCGAAGAGCAGCGTGGAGTAGCGTACGGCGGGGGCCGTGCAGCGGGAGCGGAACAGAGCAGTACAGCGGAGCAGGGCAGGGAAGAGTACGGAGCAGGGTCGGGTACATATCAATGTAATCGCAGGTCTGCTTCGAGAGTTGGGTAGAGTTGGTTACCATACAGCAGAATACTCTACGGTAGAGCAGATGCCGGTAGAGCAACGTGGCGTCGCGTAGAGCAGATTGGTGTAGTACGTAGTAGGTGGAGAAGTTGTTGTGCCAGTAACAGTTCGCCAACAACTACGATGTATGTGACCGAACGGAGCCCCACGGAGCTCTAATCCCTGTGCAGGACGTGCCATAACATTTCAACGAGGGGAGTGGATTGAAATTGGGAGTTGTGTGCAGCCCATCGCCGGCGCAGAGCAGTAGACATTGCCAGGGAGAGCGTAGCCGAGGAGGAGAGGAGGATGGGAGGAGCAGGAGGAGCGGAGCTGGAGAGGAGCAGGGGATGAGGAGAAGGAGAGGAGGAGGAGGAGCAGGAGGAGGAGGAGGAGGAGGAGGCCTCTACAGGGCAGCCACCACTGCCTTCCACCCTAAGCAGCCCAACGCAGGCGTGAGCGCCAGCCCACCCTTCGACCCACAGGCTGCGCCACAGCACCGCGACCTACCTGCGTAGCTACCAGCGTTACAAGACGAGGAGCTGAACTTCAGGAGCACCGCCGACAGGGTCAACCACTTGGACCCAGCCCTCGCGCAGTACGCAGCGTGGCAGCAGCTGCGCGCGGACATACGTGGCCAGCGCACCACTGCAGCGGAGGTTGATCTACCTCAGCGCCTCAGCCCCGACCCGGGTGTGCAGCTGGCACCGGCGGACAACCACCACCAGCCGACGCCTACAGAGATCCACATGAAGATCACCGACGACGACGCGGACGCGGCTGCTCTCGGCATCGGCCTTCCCAGCCAACCTGCAGGGCTAGAGCCATCGACCACCAGCCCGCCCCGCGGAGGCCATGACGACCCTGCGGGCACGCAAGACCAGCAGAGCCTGCGGGCATGCAAGACGCAAGGCCACCACGACCAGAACTGACGACGGATGGCAGCCGCGGCCACCATTCAGTGTCGCTTACCAGCAGTGCCAACGCGAACACCAGCACGACATCACTAGGGCAGACCAGGAGACCCCACCCTGAGCGCTTACAACTTGCGAGGCTCACGCCTCCTGACGGGACGGGCCTGACAGCGGCCCACCAGTGCGCCATAATTCCTCATACCTCTTGTCCGCACAATGTTGCCCAAGTTTTGCTTCATAACAGGCATGAGGCACTGCACCAGCTGCTGCCTCCCAATGCCACATCTCTGCACGATCCTCTTCACCAAAATGTGCGCAGTCTCCGACACGATCGTCCGCAGCACAGCTGGGCACACGTGCTCCCTGCCTACCTCCTTACCGACGGCAGCGCGACTCAGACGCCCAGGCGCATCACATCACACGGCGAGCATTCGGACATCGGCTATGCTACGCCGGGGGCCCAATCGGGGCAGTCTCACCACGCGCTATGCTACCTCACCCGACGTGCGTGGGTCCCCGCGGGGCTCTCTCACCCACGGGAGACAGCCGTGGGTCCTTGCGGGGCTTTCTCACCAACAGCCGTGAGAACGAGAGAGGGCACCACCAGCCTCCAACCTGCACTCCCTCCAGGGTCACCTTCTTGCAGCCTCCTTCCCCCCGAGGAGGAGGAGGAGGAGGAGGAGGAGGAGGAGGAGGAGGAGGAGGAGGAGGAGGCGAACAAGGAGGCGGAGGTGGAGGCGGAGGCGGAGGCAGAGGCGGAGGAGGAGGAGGAGGAGAGGAGGAGGAGGAGGAGGAGGATGAGGAGGAGGAGAAGGGGGAGGAGGAGGGAAAGGAGGAGGAGGAGGAGGCGGAGGAGGAGGAGGAGGAGCAGGAGGAGGAGGGCTTCCTCTCGCGAGCCTCCCACCATCCCTCCTCATGTGGTGGCGGGAAGGGCTGGGGGCTTACAGGGGCGGGCAAGGAGCACCTCCTCTCCGCGGGCCGCCCCTGGCGAGGGCCAGAGCGGCCGCGGCCGCAGCGCGGCCGCGGCAGCCGCCACAGTGCTGCCTCTGATGGGCCTGATTTCCACCACCACCCACTACCATTACTCCTCCTCCTCCTCCTCCTCCTCCTCCTCCCTCCTCCTCCTCCTCCTCCTCCTCCTCCTCCTCCTCCTCTCCTCCTCCTCCTCCTCCTCCTCCTCCTCCTCCTCCCTCTCCTCCTCCCTCCTCCTCCCCTCCTCCTCCTCCTCCTCCTCCTCCTCCTCCTCCTCCTCCTCCTCCTCCTCTTCGTCCTCCTCCTCCTCCTTGTCCTCCTCCTCCTCCTTCCCCCCTCTAACGTATGGTGGTCGTGGTGGAAAACAGGCCCATCATCCTCCAGCCATCAGGTCTACCTGATTTCAGCAATCGCGATCTCGGATCGCCTGCCCAACAGCTACGGAGGGGGGTGGGTCAACAGTGGGTCCAGGCGGGGTGGGGAGCGCAACATCAACAGTCACCGCGCCGCCGCCACGGAAGGCAGAAACCTCCCCCACGCATGGTGGAAATCCCCCAAGCGGCCCCCGCGTCCACAATCTGGGTACCTTCACTCTTGCGTCGCATGGGAGGGTACCAGTCGTGGAGATGGGAGTCGGTTCGGGGGATGTCCCACGTGCAGGGGGAGAGGCCTTTTCTGCCTTCCACCTTGGCGTGTGTGGCCCGGCCCCACAGCACCTGCTGAATGGCCCCCGCCACCGCCGGGAACCCCGCGCCATGCGTGCAGGCGAGGGATCCCGCCCTTGGCCTCGGGGGCGCCAGTGGGGATTTCCTGCGACCAGGCCATCGCGCTAACATGGATCAATGGGGGCGTGGATTAGCGACGGGCCCCGTTTCCATGGGAAATCGCGCGGATTCCCGCCGCCGCGCGAGGCGGCACGGGCTGCATCTTTTGGAGGGGGCGCCTCCCCCGATCCATGGATCTGGCGACCGCGCGCCGAACCCGTGGATCGCTGACCCGTGTTGGCGCCCCCCCGTCACGAGCAGAGGGCGGGGCCCTTGGGCCCTCCGCCTCGGCGAGGGCGGGCGCGGGCCGCCACCGCCCCACCGCCGCACTGCGTGCTGCGAGCCAGCGCTCCGCCACCCCTCCGTGGGCCCTGGAAACGACAGGGCCGTTTTTCTACCGGTTCCGTTCTGCCGTTTTTGTTGCCGGTCCCGACGCTGTTTTTTTACCGGTTCCGTCGCCGTTTTGTGACCGGTTCCGGCTCCGGGTCCAATCCTGGAGCCGTTTTTGTTCCCGTTTCCGGTCGCCGTTTTTTTGCCGTGTCCATTTTCGAGGGGCACTTTTTTGGGAAACGGTGAAAGAACGGCCCTGCCGTTTCCGGGGCCCACTGAGCGCCACCCCCCCTCCACCCGCCAGCCCTTCGCAGCCCCCATCCGCCACCGTGCCTTCCACCGATCCCTTCTCGAAGGGGAGAAAACGCCGTAAGCAGAAACTTGTGGCGCTCCGCGCGGATGTCTTGGATGCGCGCTGGGGCCCCCCGGCGGCGCCTCCGGCGGCGCCCCTGGCGCGCTCTGCGCGCCAGGGAGGGGGGCCCAGCGCGGATCCAAGACATCCGCGCGGAGCGCCAAAAGTACATGTTTGATGGCGTTGTTTCTTCTACCTTCCACCTTTGCAGGCAACCTCGCCGCCCAGGGCTACCGCTGCTCACTGTCGCCGCAACCCAAAAGGGCTGCCGCTGCTCACCATCAGGGCTGCCGCTCGCCATCGGGGCGCGGCTGCTCCTGCTGGGTAGCACCTCTCGCCATCCGGGCTGCCGCTGCTCACACGGCGATGGGGGGGGGTTCGGGGTGGAGGGGGTGCGCCTTCGCCGCGCCGCCGCCACACGCGGCGTCGGCCCCGTGCCCACTCCCCCCCTTCGTATTCACGAAACGGCTTCGTCTGCCTCTCCTCCAGTAGATGGACAATATTTTCGAACCCTCACACATTCGAGGGAGATTCTAAACCCCGACATCAATGTTGATCTCAGTAAAGGCGGTGCTTTGGGGTTCGAATCTTTCTGCCCACTCACGCCCCCCCCCGTCGCCACGCCATCAGTACTAATTTCGGGGGGTCGGGGGGGCATCTTGGGCCACAGGGTTCGAATATAGTGTCCATGTACGCTCCCTCCCTCTCCTCGTCTGTCTGCCGGCTCTCCAGCTGCACTCCTCGCAGGTACCGCCCGCAACACTCGGGCCGCGGTGCTCCAGGGGTCACCCGGCGTTCGCTCGGTGATATCCCCCCAGGGCCGACCGGCCCCGGAGGGGGGGATGCTGCACCCGATGGGGTTTCTCAAGCCACCAGGAAACAGAAACCAGGAGGAGGAGGATGAGGAGGAGGAGGAGGAGGAGGAGGAGGACGGGGAGGAAAAGAGGGAAGATGGAAAGGAGGAGGAAGACAGGTGCAAACCCAAGACATGCCAACGATAATGCAATAAGCCTTCCTTCCAAGCCCCCTCTTCACGCGTCTCCGCAATGGTTCATTTTCAGTTGGGTAAGAGCCCCGTTGGAAGACAAACGTTTGAAAATCCTGCGTCGTGCCAGAACACCATTCCTGGGACTTATCGTTACCGTTGCGTCCTGTCGATCCTGAAAGTTGCCAGAACACCAAACTTGGGACTTCAACTGGAGTTTTGCACCGCGAGTCCACGTAACGGTTGCGCCCTGACAGTTCTACAACATGCCAAACTCCCGTTTTGGGAAGTCAACCATGGGAATTATTGAAGTTGTTGTGAACTGTATGGCAAGTTCGCGCGGCACCAAGGCGAAAGGCGCATGTTGAAAATATACCGCATTCCATATTTAAAGCTTGTACAAACTGTTGAGACGAATGTGCGCGGCGCTGAAGCGAGAGCCGTAGGTTGAAAACCACCCGCCATCCATCCGCGAAGTTGTTGCAAGTTATCAGTTCAAGGATCACGAGTGGTGAGGGAATCTCAGGCGAAACGCCCGGCCCGCTCTACCGACACGTCTCAGGATCGACAGGGCGGGGGGGGTTAGAAGGAACAGGGATGGAGAGGCTTGTCTCATCTTCCAAAGCCGTTCTTGCTGGAGCTACTCCGGCCCGTCACCGAAGCCCGCCGGGTCTGAACCTCGAGCGATACGCCGCACGGGGGCATGGCAGAGCCCGCATCGGCGCAGGCAGTGGCGCCACCGCCCACGTCTCCCCGGCCGCGCCGCACGAGCGTGTTTGCGAACGACTCCACCGTGGTCAAGGCCCGCTTCGACAAGCTGACGCTGACGCAGTGGTTCAAGGACATGGACAAGGACGGGAACGGCTCTGTGGACAAGAAGGAGCTCCGCAAGCCGCAGCGGCCCCCCCCCCCCCCTCGCCACGTCGCCTTCCTGTCGGAGGGGGGCGCGCTGAGACAACGGCTGTTCGGCCTGCGGGGAGCCCCCGCGTCTCTCGGCTCGACGCAGCTCGGGAGACTGGTGCGTCTGGACCTCGGGACGGGTCCGGGGCTCGATGTCCAGCTGCCCGTGTCTCAGCTCGCCCTCCTCCGCCTCGGGCGGCGCGCACGGGGGGGGGGGCCCTCTGAGCAGGCGGGGGGGTCCTCTTCTGGGACAGGGGCCTTCTGGGAAGCCTCCCCCCCCCTCCCCCCGCGCCTTCTCCTTGTGGGGGCGTGGTCAATGCACACCCCTGGCCCAAGGTGCCCCCAGCTCTTCGCTCCATCTCTTGGAGCCCCTGGGGCCTCAGGGCCTTGCGACGGTGCCCTGGAGGCTGTGGGGGGGGCGGGGGGCCTCCCCGGACATCCTCGGGGCACCTTTTGGGCTGGGGGCACGTCGAGCAGCACCCGATCTTGCACGGTCGCCTCCCGTCGCGCCCCCCCCCCCCGTCAGAAGTCCTCGGCACGGGTGCCTCCCGCTCTCCCAGGGCGCGGTCCAGCAGGATGCCCTGACAGGGCCAGAAGCGCCCAAATTCCGTCCTCGTCCCTTCTCGTCTCCTCTGGGAACGACGTTGCCGATGCGGCGGCCAAGAGAGCGGTTCTTTGGTTACCCCCAGGTTTCTGCGGCTGAGCTTGCTGAAATCGATCGGTGCGCCTCTGGCCTCGACTCGACCTCGATAGGGCGCCCAGAGTTCCAGGCACTGGCAGAGTTGTCGCATCGAAGTGTCATCTCTGAACGAGTGGTCGCGGTATCACACCTACTGGAAGTGCCACCGCTGCCTCAAGTCTAAGCGTCAGGATCAAAAAGCCTGTTGACCAAGGCGGTCCATGACCTTTGCCAGATGCCGCCCTCGAGATTGGAAGCATGAAGCATATCGTAGTTGTGTTTGCCTGCGCAGAGCGCACTTCCGTACACTCGCTCGAAGTGCAAAGCGTACACCGCTGGAGGCCAGTTCAGGAATCTCAGGAAGCAATGTCTCAGGATACTTGCCTCCAAATTTGCGACTTGGATGTGGCCGGTGCGTCTCAGAGGGAAGCATCTCAAAGTGCCATCCGTCAAAGTCTACCCTTTTTTCTCTGCCGGCCTGAGTCGGCAGGAGTAGCGCTGATAGAAAAGTCCTCCTCCTCCTCCTTTTCCATCCCCTCCTCCTCATCCTCCTCGTCCTCCTCCTCCACCTCCTCCTCATCCTCCTCCTCCTCCTGCTCCTCCTTCTCCTCCTTCCCCTTCCTGATCCTTCTCCTTCTCCCTTCTCCACCTCCCTCCCTCCTCCCACTCTCCGCGCGCGCGCGGGATGGCGCGCGCGCGGAAAGGGGATGGAGGAGCAGGAAGACGAGAAGCAGGAGGAGGCGGGAGGAGGAGCACAAAGCGAAAGAGGAGAGGGAGCAGGATAGCCGCCCCGAAGGAGTGGCTCGGCTTCATGCGGAGCAACCCGCAGCTGAGGCAGTTTCTGCTGCGCGGGGACGCCTTGCCGCAGCAGGGCGCGTGCCCCACGGACGCGGCCCAGAGAATGCAGGATGACGCGAGGCCGCATGGGGCTGCCCCCAGCAACCGGCATTTGGCGGCATTGTTCTCGGGGGGAGCAGACAATGACACGAGCATGCATTGTCGGAGGTCCGCGCGGATTTTCGCGAACTGGCGGCATGAGCTGTGCCGCAACCAAGAAGAGGCATCACAGTGCCTGCGTCAGCACGCAGGACTGAACCGCTGACGGATCTCACTCGTTCTCCAGTCGTGGGCATCAAACTCGTGCGAAGAAGCATGCCCTGGCGCTCGGAGCGCGCCAGGGGCGGCGCCGCAGGCGCCGCCAGAGGCCCCAGCGGATCTCCGAGCACTTATGTTTATGTCAGTGTCTGTTCCCCTGTGGTCTTTTCCCGCTCTTGCATGTTGGCCAATTCAACGGTACCCCCGTTTAGTTAGCTCCTTTCGCCAGCGCAGACAACCCCTGCCTAGCCGGCGACGCAGAAATTCCCCTATGGTCGGCGGCCTGGGCAGCGGCCTGGGCCACGGCGGCGACGGCTTCGGCGACCTCTGTCGATGGCGGCGGCGACGGCGGCGGCGGCGGCCTCCGTCGGCGACGGCGGTGGCGGCTGCGGGGTGGTCTGCTCGCGGCGACTGATGAGGGCACCGACGTGTCGGCACACGCGCCGGGCCGCTTCGCGTGCGCGGGAGCGCGTGGAGCGGAGGCGACGATAGGGGCGAACAGCCTCGGGGAGCAACACGCGTACCCAGGGGCGCGGAGGTTCCATGTCTTCGGCGAGGCTCCCCGACGAGTGGTTGTGCTGCGCGCCGCTCGGCGGTTCGCCCCGAGCGTCGCTTCCGAGTAAAAGGGGGTGGGAGGAGTGGCAGGAGGAGAGGGAGGAGGAGGAGGAGGAGGAGGAAGGAGGAGGAGGAGGAGGAGGAGGAGGAGGAGGAGGAGGAGGAGGAGGAGGAGGAGGAGGAGGAGGAGGAGGAGGAGGAGGAGGAGGAGGAGGAGGAGGGGAAAGAGGAGGAGGAGGAGGAGGAGGAGGAGGAGGAGGAGGGAGGAGGAGGAGAGGAAAGAGGAGGAGAAGGAGGAGGAGGAGGAGGAGGAGGAGGAGGAGGAGGAGGAGGAGGAGGAGGGGGAGGAGGGGGAGGAGGAGGAGGATGAGGAGGAGGATGAGGAGGAGGAGGAGGAGGAGGAGAGGGAGGAGCCGTCCGCCTGCGCGAGCTGCTGGGCCTGGTATTGCCTGTGGCCTTCGATGGCCCCGTCTCCGAGGCCAGGGTCTACGCGTGTCCACCGCCTGAGGAGGCGATGTCGCAGGACCCCCGGAGGCAGTGGGCATAGATTTTACATTCTCGGGCCAGGGGGGGGCCTAGAGATACCCATATCCACTGCACCACTGGGGTTCTGGGACGTCGATTCCACAGGGAGGTGCACTTCCCGCCCGCGGGCGCAACCGCAGCCGCAACCAGGCGACACATTCCAACCCGCCCGCGGGCGCAACGGCAACTACAACCAGGCGATACATTCCAACCCGCCCGCGGGCGCAACCGCAATCGCAACCGCAACCGCAACCAGGCGACGCATTTCAACCCGCCTGCGGGTGCAACTGCAACCGCAACCCGTCGACACGGTTCAACCCGCCCGCTGGCGTAACCGAAACCACAACCAGGCGAGACATTTAAACCCGCCCGCGGGCGCAACCGCAACCGCAACCAGCCGAGACATTTCATCCCGCCCCGCGGGCGCAACCGCAACCGCAACCGCAACCAGGCGCATTATTTCAACCCGTCCGCGGGCGCAACCGCAACGGCAAGCAGGCGACACAGATCAACCCGCCCGCGGGCGCAACCGCAACCGCAACCAGGTGACACATTTCAACCCGCCGGCGGGCGCAACCACAACCGCAACAAGGCGGCACATTTCAGCCCGCAACCGCAGCCAGGCGGCACATTTCAACCCGCCCGCGGGCGCAACCGCAGCCGCAACCAGGCGACACATTCCAACCCGCCCGCGGGCGCAACCGCAACTGCAACCGCCCGCGGGGGCAGCCGCAACCGCAACCGCAACCAAGCGACAAATTTCAACTCGCCCGCAGACGCAACCGCAACAGCAACCGCAGCCAGGGGGCACATTTCAACCCGCCCGCGGTCGCAATCGCAGCCGTAACCAGGCGACACAGATCAACCCGCCCGCGGGCGCAACAGCAACCGCAACCAGGGGACACATTTCAACCCGCCGGCGGTCGCAACCGCAACCGTAATCAGGCGACACGGTTCAACCCGCCCGCAGACAGAACCACAACAGCAACCGCAATCAGGCGACACATTTCAACCCGCGGGCGCAACCGCAACCGCAGCCGCAACCAGGCGATACATTTCAACGCGCCCGCGGGTGCAACAGCAACCGCAACCAGGCGATACATTTCAACCCGTCCGCGGGCGCAACCGCAACGGCAAGCAGGCGACACATTCCAACCCGCCCGCGGGCGCAACCGCAACCACCACCGCAATCGGGCGACACATGGTACCCGCCCGCGGGCGCAACCGCAACCGCAACCATGCGATACATTTCAATCCGCCCGCGGGCGCAGCCGCAACCCCAACCGCAAGCAGGCGACACATTCTAACCCGCCCGCGGGCGCAACCGCAACCGTAGCCAGACGACACATTTCAACCCGCGAGCCCGGAGCCCGCGGCTGATGCTGTTACCTGGTCGGCTCGGTAAATAAATGTGCTGCCTCAGTCGCAATGGCAAAGGGAAGAGTACGAGCTGCGATCATGGTCAAATCTTTCCCTCGCGGTCTGCATTCTGGGACGCGATCCCGCGGATGCGCGGTCGCGTGGATACGTTTCGCGCAGGGCATCTTCGAGACATGTCACGCAAACACGGGGCCGTGGCCCAGGGGCTGGGCCCACGAAGCCGTGGACACGGACAGATCTTCGATCCGAGAAGGAGGAGGGGGAGCAGCAATATATTTTTTTTTTTTTCGCAGTTTGGCCACTGATGGATCACCACGCTCAATCGCCGTGACTGCTTGCTTACCCGAGCGGTCGGCCAGGTGTCTCCGTGAGCGCCGACTGCAGCAAGCTCCCCGCTGCCCTGCCTACCAGGGCGGCCGCTCGGGATTCGTGGCTGCAGAGCGTGAGCGGACCACACGAAGCAAATATATTACACATGACATACCACGCTCTGATACAACGCTCTGCAGCGACGATGGAGGGGGTAAGGGAAGGGGGGCTGGCCGACGAGCTGGCGCGCTGGGCGCTGGGGCGCGCCGTCAGGGTCGGGGCGGCAGGGCGCCGGCGGCGGGCGCCGGTGGCATCGCACGACGCTCTGCCTCGTCGCCGCGTCTCGGGAGTCAAGCAGTGGCGAGGCATCCTGGCTTGCCTGCAGGCCCAGCAGGGAACGTCTTGAGAGCCTTCTGTGGTCAAAAAGGCAAGCTCTCGGAACGTTTCGGGCCGAAAGGGCCTTTTGCCTCAACACAGGGACGCTACTTATGTTCTAAGAGCCTTGTTTCGGGTATGGCCAGGACCCCGGGTAAGGGGACCCGGTTAGTGGTAGGGCCCCGATGCCTGTGAATTGGCCAGAATCACTCAACCAGGTTTGCCGTAGCTTGTGTTTTTTCGGGTGACGGCAGTTCCGGTTCGTGGAAGTGGGACGGGGCCCCCGGTACGGATCACTCAACCAGGCTCCACCAAACCCAGTTCTACCAACGCCCGAGTATGTCTCTTGTGAGAGCTCTCTCTCTCTCTCGTGGTCTGAGAGCATGTCGCGGCAGGCCTGCAGGACGGCCGTGGCGGTCGGCCCCTGCTCAGAGGAGAGCTTCTGCGGGTGGCGGCTTCCGTGGCGGACCCGCCGCGCCACGCGAGGAGACGGCGAGGGAGGATCGAGGCTTAAGGCGGGCCTGTCCCCCTACAGGGGGATTTTCGACGAAAAATGGAACTTACCTCCAAAATAGTTTTAAAATAGTCCAGAAATAGTCTGGGGACCATAGATTTGGTATTTTTTGATCTTTTTGGATTATTTTTGGGGCATTTCTTATGTTTCGTCGAAAATCCCCCCGTAGGGGCACACGCCCGACATAAAATCGAGGCGCTCCCCGCCCGGCGGCTCCGTCCCCGGGCCGCCCCCTGGCCGAGGGAGTTCAGGAGGCTCCTGCAGATTTGGCGGGACATCGACACGGACAAGAACGGCACGCTGGAGTTCGAGGATTTCGTCGGGGAGCGGCCACTCGCAGGGGAGGGGGGGTGGTAAGGGGGAGGGGGGGAATGCTTCTGAGGAGAATCCCTGCTTCTCAGAAGGCGCGGGCCTCCTCTGTAGATGTGAGCTGGCGCCTTCTAAGAAGCAGCTCTCTTCTGAGAAGCCTTTCCCCCTCCCCCTGCCCCCTTGTGCGCGCCGCCAAGGGGAGGATGTGGGGGCAGGACGGGACGAGGACGGGGTTTACGGGGGGTATGCAGGTTTTTGTGTTGGATGTCTTCGGCGGGAACGGGCGTTGGAGTTGGAGGAGATCGTCGACTCTTCTTCTTTCGTCATAGTCATCATCAGCAGCGTTATCATCACCACCATCACCATCACCATCAGCATCATCATCAGCAGCATCATCATCATCGCCATAACCATCATCAGCATCACCATCATCATCGTTATCCTCATCGTCGGTGTCATTGTCAGCATCACCATCGCCATCATCAGCATCATCATCACCGTCATAATCATCATCATCGTCATCATCAGCAGCATCATCATCCACTTGTCTCGACCCGTAGTTCGGCGGCCCTCCAGACCACGCCCTGCCCCCCTCCAGTCTCTCGGTGGCAGTCCTCTCTCACCTTGTCCGGCCGACCATCCCACTTGGCAGTGATGTCCCTCCTTTCGAGGACTGAGAGGATAATCAAGAGATTCTCTATTTTCGAGGGTTGTCTCCCCTGGAGGAGTTTGTCGACTTCTTCCGACAGAGCGGCAACCTCCTGGAATACGCGCTCCCCGACAACCCTAAAGAGCGGCTCGCCACCATCCTGGTCGAGATGACTGACAGGAGCAACCGGGGGAGCGAGGACTCAGAGGGGGACGAATTTACCGAGACCGCTATCATTCCATAAGTAGTTTCCGCATGCCGGGGCCCTCCTCCTGGGGGGACCACGGCTGCATCCGCTTCGGGAATTCGAGTCCCGGCAGAGGACGGGAGTGGCGGTGCCGATAGATGATTGATCCCTGAGGACCACTTGGGGGAGAGTGTTGCCGTCAGCGAAGAGGTCCTCCCCTCTCTCCTCCGAGCAGGCCGGTGTGCGAAGCAGAGCACGGCGAGCACGTTTTGGGCGCCGCGTAATGGGGGGGTCATAAATGGGGGGGTGGCGAGGGTGGTTCGAAAAGGTACCCAAACCGTACCTAAACGAGCCCCCTGGGGCTCTGGAGGGGCCCGAAAGGGGCACGAAAGGGGACCTTTTCTGGCCCCCCCACTTGTGACCCCCCCAATAGGCCACGTCCACACGTTCGCCCCGCTCGGGGCCCGGGGCCCTCGCGGATCGGTCCGCGTCGAGCAGTCCTGCACCATCGCAGGGAGGGAGGCACGCGGCTACGGAGCGGAGCTGCCATGCCGTGCTTCTGTTTCGCGACGCGAGGTCGGAGCTCGGGGCCCTCCACCCACCCACACTTTTGCCCGTGCTCCATGGTGTTCTGGCCTGCGTTCGCCCTGACTGCCAGGGAGTATTTCGAGCACCAAGAAAAAGACCGAGACTTGAGGGTTTTCACGTGTCGGGCCTTGGGAGGCGATACTCGTTCGACACCGTTTCGATACTTTCCTGGGTCCTCGAAGTTGTTTTTCTGGGATGTGGTCCTTCAGTGCGAGGGGAGCAACGTAGCCCGTGTGGTCTTCCTGCGCCTTCCCGGAGGTTCTCGAGGAGTTCGAGCACCTCACGAGGTCTACCCTTCACGGCCAGAGACGGCGAAGCCTCGAGGCCGAGGCCGTGAAGCAGATGAGCAGGGAGAGCCAGGTGGTCAGGGTGCTCAGAGCCCCTCTGGTTGGACTCCGGGGGCCCCTGCCGGGCCTCGGGGCCGTCAAAGAACCGCTCGGGATGAGAAACGGGTCCCGGGGAGTGACTCTGGGCTTCTGGGGGTCGCGCCACGAGAACATCACGACGTCGGGGGTCTGGTTGTGTGGGGGTATCTGGACGTCTGTTTTGGGCTCAAACGCCGCCTGCAGGCAACCCAGAGGGAAGTTGGTCTTTGGAGCAGGTCCGGGAGCCCAGGAAAAGTAAACGCTGGGACGCCTGCTGTCTACATAGCGCTCGGGATCCTGCGCTGCGCACGCGCGACGGAGCATCCATTCCGACAATTTGGATCAAGATGTCCCGACCTATTTGCTTGGCATCGCTCGGACGAGTGCATTTTTCCTTCGGCGAGGATCATCGAGGAGCATCCTTGATCATTTGGCGAAAAAGCCACGCACGAAACCAAACAAAAACACAGGAAATGGACGTCCGAGCGATGGCGAGCTTTAGCCTTGATCACCAAATAGTATTTCGAGCATCAAGAAAGTACCGAAACTGGAGGGTTTTCACGTATCCGGCCCTGAGAGGCGATGCTCGTTCGACACTGTTTCTATACTTTTCTGGGGGCTCGAAACTATTTATGAGATGTGATCCTTAAGCCCCATCGGAGCATCTTAAAATTTGGGTGGCATGTCCGTACTCTGGGCCGTCCGCAGACGCCGCTTGGGGTAGCCTCCTCCCGGCCTGCCTCTCTGCACCGCTGCCGCGACTGCCACGGGGGAGCGCCGAAAGACTGGAAGGCTATGAGAAGGAGGAGGAGAAGTAAGAGGAGGTAAAGAAAACAACAAGGAGGAGGACAAGGAGGAACAATAAGGAGGGGGAGCGAGGAGGAGGAGGAGCGAGGAGGAGGAGGAGCCAGGAGGAGGAGCAAGGAGGAGGAGGAGGAGGAGGAGGAGGAGGAGAAGGAGCGAGGAGCGAGGAGGAGGAGGAGGAGGAGCGAGGAGGAGGAGGAGCGAGACGGAGAGGAGGAGGGGGGAGGAGGAGGAGGAGGAGGAGGAGGAGAGGAGGAGGAGGAGGAGGAGGAGGAGGAGGAGGAGGAGGAGGAGGAGGAGGAGGAGGAGGAGGAGGAGGAGAGGAGGAGGAGGAGGAGGAGGAGGAGGAGGAGGAGCGAGGAGGAGGAGGAGGAGGAGGAGGAGGAGGAGGAGGAGGAGGAGGAGGAGGAGGAGGAGGAGGAGGAGGAGGAGGAGGAGGAGGAGAGGAGGAGGAGGAGGAGGAGGAGAGGAGGAGGAGGAGGAGGAGGAGGAGGAGGAGGAGGAGAAGGAGGAGGAGGAGGAGGAGGAGGAGGAGGAGGAGGAGGAGGAGGAGGAGGAGGAGGAGGAGAGAGGAGGGAGGAGGAGGAGAAGGAGGAGGAGGAGGAGGAGGAGGAGGAGGAGGAGGAGGAGGAGGAGGAGGAGCGAGGAGCGAGGAGCGAGGAGCGAGGAGGAGCAGGAGGAGGAGGAGGAGGAGGAGGAGGAGGAGGAGAGGAGGAGGAGGAGGGGAGGAGGAGGAGGAGGAGGAGAGGAGGAGAAGGAGGAGGAGGAGCGAGAGGAGCGAGGAGGAGCGAGGAGGAGCGAGGAGGAGCGAGGAGGAGGAGGAGGAGGAGGAGGAGGAGGGAGGAGGAGGAGGAGGAGGAGGAGGAGGAGAAGGAGGAGCGAGGAGGAGGAGCGAGGAGGAGCGAGGAGGAGGAGGAGCGAGGAGGAGCGAGGAGGAGAGGAGGAGGAGGAGGAGGAGGGAGGGAGGAGGAGGAGGAGGAGGAGGAGGAGGAGGGAGGAGGAGGAGGAGGAGGAGGAGGAGGAGGAGGAGGAGGAGGAGGAGGAGGAGGAGGAGGAGGATGAGCGAGGAGGACCCATGCCTTCGACCCTCACGGCCTGCCCCCCCTCGGGACCAGCACATCTCATCCAGAGTCGCTTTTGCGACGGTGGGGGCCAAGGGGAGAGGCCCTCGCGATGCCTCGAAGTTGCGAGCGAGGGCGGCTCGAGGCGTTCGATTCGGGAGGCGTCTGGCTCCTCCATTTCACCATCGACCCATCGGACCGTTGGAGCTCTCCCCTGGCCCCACGGGCTTCTGGTCAGAGTTTCAGGGCGGACAGGGCCGTGGCGACTGGTGGGACGCTCCAGGAGACCCGCAAAGACGGGAGAACGTCAACAGCCTCCCCTCACGACACTCTCCCGCTTCCTCTTCTCCTAAGGCCGTTCAGAATCGGTCCGCAGACTCCACCAGGACAACCCAAGCAAGCTTCTCGAGCGGCGCCTAGCCAGATTGACGAGAACCTCCAGAAGCGCTCGAGACTCGGAACCGAAAACAAAGACGCCGTCGTGAATTCGAGGAGGTCCCCGGAGGTTTCCGCAGGTCTCTGGAGGTTCTCAGAGGCCATGCTACGCCGTTACAGAAGTTCGTCATCTCGTATGGGAGCATCAGGATGATGCAGGTTTCGTCCATTACTTCCGTGCGAGCGGGCGGGCGAAGGCTGTTCCCTGTCCCAACCGCGCCAAGCGACCTTCCCCCCTAGAGTCCTAGCGGGCTGGGCCAAGAGCGGTCGGATCAACGATCCAGGGTTTCCAAATCCTTTTTTTTCCCAGTCGTGCAATAGTATTTTTTAAACGGGATGGTTTAACATCCCCGCGTAAAACACAAGGTTTTAGAAATCCCACCGGGCGGGATCTTGCCCTGCCCACGCAAGATGATGCCATTCCAATTCATGACGATGTTTTGTAACGCAGATGCAGGAGGCCTGGAGGCAATAATGACACGCAGGAAAAACACATCCCAAATATTAATTCTTTACGCTTCGCGTATCCCCACCAGCCCATCTCACAGCAGCAACTCTCGCGAAGCATGCCGACAGTCGTGTTTTTTCAGGCGTGTGTCCGCTTGGCCCCGCAAATCTCCCCTGTTCCTCCTTCCTCCCGCCTCCTTGTACATCCTCCTTGTGGGGGGAGCGGGAGAAGGACGAGGCGGAGGAGGAGGGAGAGAAAGCTCTCCTCGTGGTTTGAGTCGTTTGGGGTTTCTCGTCCTGGTGTGAGTCGTTCGGGCCCTTCTTCCTGGTGTGAGTCGTTCGGGCTCTTCGTGGTGTGAGTCGTTCGGGCTCTTCGTCCTGGTGTGAGTCGTTCGGGCTTCTCGTGGTATGAGTTGTTGGGGCCCCTCGTCCTGGTGTGAGTCGTTCGGGCCCCTCCTCCTGGTGTGACTCGTTCGGGCTCCTCGTGGTGTGAGTCGTTCGGGGCCCTCGTCGTGGTGTGAGTCTTCGGGCTCCTCGTGGTGTGAGTCGTTCGGGCGCCTCGTCCTGGTGTGAGTCGTTCGGGCCCCTCCTTGTGGTGTGAGTCGTTCGGGCTCTTCGTGGTGTGAGTCGTTCGGGCCCCTCGTCCTGGTGTGAGTCGTTCGGGCTCCTCGTGGGGCCTCTTGGGGGCCTCTTGGATGCTCTTGGGGCCTCTTGGGGGCCTCTTGGGGGCCTCTTGGGGGCCTCTTGGGGGCCTCTTGGGGCCTCTTGGGGCCTCTTGGGGGCCTCTTGGGGGCCTCTTGGGGGCCTCTTGGGGCCTCTTGGGCTTGGGGGCCTCTTGGAGGCCTCTTGGGAGCCTCCTGGGGGCCTCTTGGGGCCATCTTGGGGCCTCTTGCGACCTCCGCAGAAGCGCAAAGGAGCGCTGCCCCCTGAGAAGGACAAAATGAGCCCAAAACCTTCGTAAAATCAATGATTTTGCTATGAGGGAAGATGCGCGCGGCCCCCTCAGAGCGCCAAAATGAGGCCAAAACCGTAGTAAAATCAATGATTTTGGCTTTCAAGAAGAGCAGAGGGGCCAAAGTGGCTCCCCCCGTCGGGGCCAGAATCCTCGTGAGGGTCGTCGTTTTTTGGCCCTTCAAGAAGTCAAAAAAGACCCCCCTGACCACGCTCGGCCCGCCCTCTCCAGGTCCAGGGGGAGGGGGTAGGGGGAGGGGTAAACCCCTCCCCGAAGGGGAAGAAGGGGGGTTGAGGACAGAGCGGGCTCTCTAAACCACTCACGCCCAAAGGGCTGGTGGGATTCGTCGGCATTCCACCCCAAGGATGTGTTCTTACGCCAAAATCGTTGTTTGCCGAAGCCCGGAAACTTCGTGCAGAAGCCAACGATTCAGCAAACAGTTTATTTCGGTAGTTTCCGTCTCCGATTTGGGCGACGACGAAGACGACGTCGCTCTCATATGCTTCTGCATGGAGGTCCGCGGTGGTTCCGCGGAGGCCCCCAGAGGGTCGAAAAGGGGAAGACGTCCAACCACCTCGGCCTTTCTCCCCCCCGTCTCTCCGGCAACGCGCACGGTGCGGAGGACCTCCCGAGGCGCACAGGAGGAGCTGCGAAGCGTCCGACGGCGATGACGGTGCCGCTTGTCGTCGCACGCCGTCGTCGTCGGCCTCCGAGGTGGCAGCGAGGATCGAGCGCCGGCACTCCATCTGCACGGCCCTGCAGACGCCCCGGGGGCGCGGCAGCGACGCCTGCGGCGACGCGGCGAGCCCGGGCGGCTCCCCGCTCGCGGGCCGGGCGGCGACCAGCGACCTCTCTCAGCTGGGCCGCCTCCTCTTCCGCCACTGACGCCCCGCGGGGCGTTCCGTGCTTCTTTTTTTTTGGTGCCGCTCCGAGGGAGGGGGCTCGCTGACCAACCAGGACTGGGCATCGCTCGGACGTGTGGATCTTCTCCTGGCGATGGCCATCGAGGAGCAGGAAGCCGACGCACCCGCGGGGAGTGGACGCCGGAGCGATGGCAGGATTACGGAAGACGACGCCGCGGCACCTTGTCGGCCCCGATCTTGGTCCAGGCCCGTGCCGACCGTAGCCGGTTCACGCGGATGATCCATGAGTGTTCAGTCTTGGTCATGGTCAGCGTTTCCTTTCCCTCCTGGTTTGTTTTCTGTTTCTAGCTTGCTCTCGGGGAGAGGAGAGGCGACACCGGCACCACTGCGAGGGCGTCCACCCACGCCCTCCCGAGCCCGAGGCCGAAGATGCCTCGAGCGGGGCGCCGCAAAACAGGGGGGCGACACCACCAGGAAGACCCTCCCTGCCTCCTCGTGGTGGAGGCGGTGGTGTCGATTCTCTCCCTGCTCCTGGGAGTGCGATCTCGGGCGCTCACCACCCGCTCCGGGCAGGCCCATCCCGGGCTCTGGACTGTAGGTCGGGTCGCTGGCGGGGGCCGAAGTCGCGCGTGGCGTGCTGGGCCGCGGCGTTGCCCTCCCTCGGGGGGGGGGGGCGGGCGGCGCGATGGCGTCAGGAGCATCGCGTTCCGCGCGGCTCGCAGCTCGAGCTCTCAGGTCACGACACGACGGAGCCAGGGTCCTGGCGGCGGGAGGCCGGCACGAGAGCGCAGGAGGGCTCCGCGCAGCGCGGAGCAGGAAGTGGGGTGATCGAGGGACTGGTGGCTGGGGTCGTGGGCCCTGCTGGCCTGACTACGCCAGGTGGGTCTGCCCATGCACCTCTCGAAGGGGGGACACGGTACCCGTCCAGCTACCCTTGCGCCTCGTCTCCTCCTTATTTGGACCTCCCGGGAGGCCCTCGTCGCCACCGCCAGCACCAGTCTCGGGATCCCGCAAAAGAGAGGTGTGCCCTAGTGACTAGTGTGCCTGTGTGTGTGTTTGTGTGTGTCTCTGTGCCTCTGTGTCTCTGTGTCCCTGTGTCTCTGTGTCTCTGTGTCTCTGTGTCTCTGTGTCTCTGTGTCTGTGTGTGTGTGTGAGAGTGAGTACGTGTGTGAGAGAGAGTGAGTGTGTGTGTGTGTGTCTGTGTGTGAGAGTTCGATCGGTTTCTGCACCGAGCCGTCCAAAGCAGATGCCCCCCAGCCGCCGGCAGCTCCCAACAATTGCCGATAGGTGGGGCATGCCGGGGCAGGGCTGGACGTAGACGCTGTTCTGCTGGACCTCGGCTGTGTTTCGTTTCTCGTTTGGGGAGGGAGAGCTACAGGGAAACAGGTAGAGCAACACGATCAACAAAACGAGCACACTTCGGAAAACAACGTTCAGGTCCAGCCCTGTGCGGGGAGCATCTGTTGGCGGCAGTTCGGTGCACCAGCGGATCGAACTCCTGCTCTTCCCCCTCAGGGTCGCCCCCCCCTTTTGGGTGGATCCCGATAGTCCAGGGCCCACGGTGGGCCTTTGGCCACGGCTGGTGGCGATGTGCAGTTGCCCTTCTCCGAATTGACGCGCACGGGGCGGTGCTCTCTTTGAGGAGCCGCGGCGTCCGCACGCCGCGTCCTCCGCCACCGCCGCGCGCTGGAGTAGGCAGGCCGAGCGTTTCGCGCCCTGGACGGCCTGGGGGCCGCCGCCGTGGACGGGTCGCACGGAAAAGGTCTGTGGATCGGGCCTCCTCGGGCTTCTTCCCGCTGCTGCTCCTCGTCCTCCTCTTCCCCTGCCCCTCGCTCCTCCCTCGAGGTCCTGACCCTCCCACTACTGCTCCCAGGAGTCCCCTGATCCCCTCCCGATCCTCTTTCTCTTCGCCCTCCTGCTTCTGACTCCCTTCTTGTTGCGTAGTCTCACTCTGCTGGCCGCCATGGGCCTCCAGAGACCACGAGAGACATCCCGAGGCGTCGGATGCCTAATCAATCTTTCCCCGGGAGGGCTCCAGAGGCTTCCAGAAACCTTTGTAGACCTTCAGAAGCCTCTGGGAACCTCTGCCCTCTCCCGAGATCTGATGTCAAATCAACACGTTGCCTGTGAAAGACGATCACGACCAGAAAAGGTATTGGGCTCTTCGAGCCGGATCGAAATGAGAGGTTCTTGGGGCCATGAATGGAGCAGACATGCACGCAATGTTTTTCCATGAGGCCCAGATCTAAGAGTCTTCCCCTCCGTCGTGAAGAGGGCCAACCCATAGACATTTGGCAGATCCTGGAGACGTCTAAACAGCGCCGGAAAACATTTGGAGACTTCTATGGTAACTTGCAGTATGGAGATTTCTATTAGAACTTGCAGTACCTTCCACAAATACGAGAGGAAGCAGAACAGTCCATGGACCTTGTAGGAACCTTTTCGAACTCCCCTGAGGCCTTGAGAGACCTCCACATGTCTGGAGGCCTCACCCCTCGCCCTCCCCACCATATCCTCCCTCTTCGGACGCGCACGTGGGAGACGACGACGGCGACAACGACGACGATTGTTTGGAAGCCGTTCGCTCATGCTTGCTCCCGAGCCGCGTCTTGTGTGCAGCCCTCTCCCTTGTGCTCAGTCTATCTGCATACCTTCTTTTAGGAGGCTCCCTTCTTCACAAGAGAAGTCATCAGAGCGCAGGCATCGGACCGTAGAATGGGGAGAGGGAGGAGGGGGGAGAGAGGAGAAATGCAGGGAGGAGGGAGGAGGGGGGGTCTGCCGCAGTAGTACGGATCAGGGGCCCAAAGCGGCAGTTTACCGATGGGAGCGCCGATGCATGCGTGCCTGGGCAGCGAGAGCGCGCTTCCTAAGCAGATTGCGAGGAGGCCTCTAGGAAGAACGCGAGTCCTGAGTGGATTGCGAGGTCGCGTCGAGCGAGTGGCGCTGGTGTTGTCTCACGAGGCGGAGTAAGTTGTGAGGACGATTCGAGCGAGAGAACGACGCCTGTGTGCGAGGACGCCTTTGGCCAGAGCGTTTCTGTGTAAATTATTGACGCTTCGCGTATCCCCACCAGCCCATCCTACACCAGGCGCTCGAACGAAGAGCGCCGATGATCGGCAGCTGTTCTCCTCCCCCTCTTCCTCCTCCTCCGCCTTCTCCTCCTCCTCTTCTCCTCCTCCCTGACCTCCTGCTCCTCCTCCTCCTCTTCCTCCTCATCTTCCTCTTCCCTGGTGGCGTCTTGGAAGTATCTTCGAACGTTTTGGTGGGCTCTTGGGCCTTGCGGGCGGGCGGGCGGCGCTCCGCCCGCCCGCGCGCAGGGCCCAAGAGGGGGTCCAAGACGTCTCTCGGAGCCATCTTGGAGGAGATCGATCAACGAAGGGGGGTTCCTAAATTTCAGCCCCCCCCTCAGGATCCACGATCCTCGTGAGGGGTGTCGAATTTTAGCCCTCCCAGGGGTCGATCTTGGACGCTCTGACCGATCGTGGCCCCCCCTGTCCAGGTCAGTGGGGAGGGGGTAGGGGGAGGGGTAAACCCCTCCCCGAAGGGGAAGAAGGAGGGGTGGAAGAGGAAACTCGTTAAACCACCGACGCCCTAAAGGGCTGGTGGGATTTGTGAGGGGGGGCCGATCGGGGGCCCTTATTGTTGTGGTTGGGAGCGGCTGTCGCCGTAGCGGGGCATCTCGCCAACCGTGATGGACTGCGTTGACGTCGCGGGCGGGCGAGAGCGCCATTCCCGAGTGTGGGCACGCCTCTGGCCAGGAGCGTTCTCTGGCCGGGCCTTCACCAGTTCTGGACGCTTCGCGTAAGCCCGCCAGCAGGACCGCGCGTTGCTAATTAGATTGGCCCGTGGCCCGGACCTTTCAACTCGGCGCCTGCGCTTCCGCTTGCGCCCGCGAGGAAAAAGTAACCCCGTCAGCCCGTCCAGAATCGATGCCCAGGAGAGTTGCCCTGACCAGGGAGGTGGAGGAGCATGCACGTAGTGAAATAGCGGGCTGGGGAAGCCATCCTACCCCAAGAGGGTGAGGAGGAGGCAGAATCGGAGGAGAATCGGAGGAGGAGGAGGAGGAGGAGGAGGAGGAGGAGGAGGAGGAGGAGGAGGAATCGGAGGACGAGCGGGAGGGGGAAAGGGAGAAGGGGGAATGGGAAAGGGAGGAGGGAGGAGGGAGGAGGAGGAGGAGGAGGGGGAGGAGGAGGAGGAGGAACAGGCGGAGGAGGCGGAGGAGGAGGGCGAGCAGAAAGGTCAGAGGTCTCTTGGATGCTTCTCTGAGTCTCTTCGAATGTTTCTTAAAAGCTTCTTGGACTTCTCTTGGGGCGCCTTGGGGGCCTCTTGCCGGTCCTGGGGTCTCTTGGAGCGTCTTGGTTGCCTCGGGGAGGCATTTGGGGGCTCTTGAGGGTTCTTGGGCGCCTCTTGGGGGCCTCTTGGGGCCTCCTGGGCGCCTCTTGGGGCCCTCTTGGGGCTCTCTTATGAGCCCTAAGGGCCATCTTGGCGCCAGTTTGTAGAAGAGTAATCAAAGAAGGGGGGTCCTCGTTAGCGTCTCCTCCCAAGAGGCCAACATTGGCCCACAACCCATGTGCAATCACTTGAATGTGCCTTCTAGCCGATGCCTGATTGGGCGCTCCAATGGATCGCGGCCCCTCCCGTCCTTGTCCAGATTAGGAGGTAAACCCCTCCCCGAAAGAGAAGAGGGAAGATTAAAGAGGAACCTCCCTAAACCACTCACGCCAAGAGGGCTGGTGGGATAAGTAGGATGCGGAGACGTCGCAGGATGACGCAGGAAAGCGGTAAGAAAGCACCGTTTTCCTTTATCGACAAACGTACCCGTCCACTGAGTACCTGCAGAGTGTCGGTGATGAGTGTGGGCCGGGGTTTCAGGCCAGAGCGCCTCTGAGAAAATTGAGAGGCTGCATTGGGTGGGAACTGTTGTCGTTGTAGTTGGGCTGTTCACACTGTTTTAGAGTCAAGCCCGCACGACGACCGGGGCGGCGGCGACGACCACGACGCTGCGATAGCGTCGTCGGCGGAGACCGCTTCCGACGAGAGGTCTGCGTCTGGAGGCCCGAGAAAGGCCCAATAATGTCTAAACGCCTCGAGCCCCGATCCTCCGCTTCCTCTGCGGAAAGATGTCAGGGTCATGCTCCCCTCCCGTCGAGTGGTGCGTCTCCCTCCCGGAGACGTCCGGAGAAGCAAAAGGACGCCACGAGGGACCTCCAGGCACCGCCAGATACCCATAGAGCTGGCGAGAACCTCCAGCACTAGGACACGACGCCGGCAGCGACAATGACGGCGACGACGACGGCGAAGACGGTGGCATCGACGTCGGCGCAGGCGACGGCGGCGAGGGCGGCGTCGATGACGGCGACGACGCTGGCGGCCGCCGTCACCACCGCAGTGACGCTGGCGGCGGCGGGCGACGGCGGCGGCGGGCGACGGCAGCGACGAGGCGGCGGCGCGCTCCGTGTGGGAGGTACGTCAACCACACCTACGCGCCGTCGGCCGCGGGCCTGCCCTCCTGGGCCGAGAGCCCGGGCGCTGCGGCGGGGCGCGAGGCGGTCGTGCCCTACGGCGCGGGCTGCTGGGCCAACATCGGCGAGGCCGCAGCCCCAGCGCCACGGCGGCGGCGGCGGCGAGGGCCCCCAGGGCCAAGTCGGGCCCGCCCCTCGACAGGAGGAGTGTTTTCAAAGATTGGCAAGCACTCGTCGGGGGGCGATTCTTGTGTCGTGAATGCCATGCTTGGCATGTCTTGCATATGTTGTCTGGCTATTATTTTTGGTTCGTCCAAAGTCTGCCTGTGTAGGGGGGCATGCCCGACCTAACCCGCAGCCCCGGCGCCACGGCGGCGACGGTGACGAGGGCCCAAGGGCCTCCGCGGGTCTGAGCAGAGGTCGGGGCGCAGGCGTGAGAGTGTGCGTGTGCGTGCGTGCGTGCGTGCGTGCGTGCGTGCGTGCGTGCGTGCGTGCGTGCGTGCGTGCGTGCGTGCGTGCGTGCGTGCGTGTGTGTGTGTGTGTGTGTGTGTGTATGTGTGTGTGTATGTGTGTGTGTGTGCAGGTGTGTAGGTGTAGGTGGGTGGGTGGGTGTGTGTGTGGGTGCAGGTGTGTAGGTGTAGGTGGGTGGGTGGGTGTGTGTGTGTGTGTGTGTGTGGGTGGGTGGGTGGGTGGGTGGGTGGGTGGGTGGGTGGGAGGGTGGGTGGGTGTGTCGCCGCGGCTTTGGGGGTCTGCAAGCCCTCTTCCCTTCTCGGGGGCCCTCAGGACATGATCCGGGGTGATCATCTGGTCCCTGGGACGTTTGCGGAAATAGATTGCAGACGTGACGACGTCCGCATTCTGGGGGAGGGGTCGAACATCGAGGGTTGATCATTTTTTCGGGCCTTCGCGGGGGCCGCGGTGCAATCCTGGAGGTCCGGGGGACGTATTTCGAGGGAGATTATGTTGTCACTCGTTCTCTCTTTCCTCCCTTATGTTTTTCTTTCTCTGTCTCTGTCTCTCTCTCTCTCTCTCCCTCTCTCTCGCCGTCTCCCTCCCTCTCGAGTCCTCTGTCGCTCCCTCTCCCTCTCTCTCTGTCTCTCCCCCCTCGGATCCCTGCGCGCCGTGGAGCAGCAAGTCTGCGGCGGCGGCGAGGAGGACTCGCAGGTGGCCGCCTCTGCGGGGGGGGGGGAGGGGCCTCGCGGGGGGAATTCGTGGCCGCGGCCGGAGCTGGTCGGGGCGGTATCTGGGATGTGTCCCAGTCTGTGGGCCTCGACTGCGCGTGAGATCGGGCGGGTGGCACTGGGGGGAGCCCCTCCGGGGGTGAAGAAAAGGACCCTAAAGGACCCTAAAGCTTCTTGGGGGACGTGGTCGGCAACAAGTGGCACTCCCTCGTCGACGAGAAGGAAAGCTGTGCGAGCGGGCTGCGGTATCATGCCGGCTACCGGGCTTACCTCATGGGCGCGCAGCAGTCCTATATTTGGATCAGTTCGGATTGGACCATGGTGCGCTCGTATTTCATCAATTTCGACGACAACTTGAACTGGATGCAGCGCGACTTCTCCGCATTTGCTGGAAAGGACGATGATTCTTCGCCGCAGTTCGTCAAAATCCATCGCAGGCAAGTTCCTGGGGATCTATCGAACACGCGTTTATTTCACGACGCCGATTGGAAGAAGTTGAAGGACTCGATGAGTGGTACGAAATTAGGCAAGGTAGAGATGCCACTGACAGTGTACTGCGGAAACGAAAGTGTCGCAGATACAGTGAGAATGTTCACCTAGGCCGCGGAGATCATCGGCTACCACGGCGCAGCGATGGCCAACACTTTGTTTTCGGCCCGAAGGCATTGCGTGCACCGCATCTCGACATTCAAAGATTTGCAAAGTCAGGTGCACTGGCGCGTCAACGATGACGTGGCCAGGATGAACAAGCTGGACAGTTTCAACGTCTACGACATCCCATTGATCGACCTCCTCAACGACAACAGCGTGAACGTTGAGGATTACGAGAATGCAGAAGATAAGGATCATTTCATCAAGGATTTTCTTTGGGTATCGCTCCCAGATTACCACACTGCACACTTACAAGCTGCTGGTTGGCATTGCCTGAAGAACTGGGTGGAGGGCCACCGGTAGATGGCCAGCCCACAACAGTTGTCTCGCGCGCGAAGACCTTCCCACCCTCGTCTTCCGCACGCTTTAGAGGTGAAGGCATCGGGCAGTTGATTCTCGGAAATGCAGTTGCTTGGCATCGCTCGGACGTGTGCATTTTTCCTTCGGCGAGGACCATCGAGGAGTATCCTCGATCATTTGGCGAAAAAGCCACGCACAAAACCGAAAAAAAACACAGAGAATGGACGTCCGAGCGATGGCGAGGTTGTGGAAGAACCAGCAGGCTTGCCAAGCGCCATCGACTGTTGTTGCACGAGCGTTGCGCACGATTCGTGCGGATGATGCTCTCCAGGGCATCGTTGTATTGCCTGGCCATGGAAGCGCGTCTTGGCGCGCGACGCAGGAAGCAACGACTCTTGTCCAGGGTCGCTCTTGCGTGTAGTCGAGGGCCGACCCCGATCACGACGATGACAACGACCCCGCTAGGCCTCCTAGTTGGGGCCGGAGTGCATGGGATCTGAGGATCGAGCCCTATCGCCGATGCCTCGCCGATGCGGCTCGATGTAGGGCCCGATCCGCTTCACGTCGACGTCGCTAATGCGCCGCCGACATCGACGATGCATTGCCAATACATCGCCAATGAATCGACGATGTAGTTATCAGCGATGAGGCGCGATCTTTATGACCCCATATACACCGACCCCATCTAGGAGGACTCTAACCCTGTGACTTCTCCAAGGCCCGCGTTCTGATCGCGATTTTGAAGCGGCTCCACTCCTGCCCACGTGCGCGCACTCCCCCAGGAGGAGGCCCGGACGGTTCGAGATTCGAGAGAGCGCCCAGACGCCTTCGCCCTTGACCCCCGAACCTCGAGCCGACGTCATGGCTTTTCGGTGGCATCGATGCTTGGACCTGCAGACTCTAGTCGGCGGCGAGCGCGGGGGCGCAGTGAGCAGGAGAGATTTCGAGTTCGATGTTTTAGGTTGTCGGGCGTCTTTGTAGGTACTCGGAGGCCTGTCGACGTCGGGATGCGTCCTAGCGGCTGCGCCTCGCCGAGAGCGTTCCGGGAATGCCCGGATCGTTCCGAACGGCCGCCAGAGACCCGAGTTATGACCCGAAAACCAAATTCGGCAGCGAGCGAGGGGGGGGTGAAAAGGAAAAGGCTTTTCAGAGGGCGGCGGGACTTCTCAGAAGCCCTCGCGCCTTCTGAGAAGTTGTCTGCGTCTTCTGGGAAGGCTTACAACTTTGTCAGAAATCTGAAGGACTTCCGAGCCTTCTGAGAAGGCCGGTCCCCTTCTCACTTCCCCCCCGCGCTCGCTACCGATCTAGACCCCACCCCAGATCTCGAGATACCAAGTTTTTGTTTCGACGCCAGACGTCAGACCCAGACGAAAGAGGCAACCCCCAGACCTGTCTTAGAGCAGACCTTCGAGGTGGATCCAGCCTCAACGCTCAGACCTCCCTACGGTCAGGTGAAAATTGCTGGCAGTGTTTGTCTTGAAAGTGTGGGGAGAAAATCGGAAGCGCGCACGCGCGCGCACGCGCACGCGCGTGCATGCGCTCAGGATTAGGCGCGGGCTCGGGTTCGCGCTCGGGCTCACGCTCGGGCTCGGTCTCGGGCTCGGTCTCAGGCTCGGGCTCGGACTCGGGCTCGCTCGGGCATGCACGCGCGCACGCGCGCGCACGCGCACGCGAACTGCACCCGTTTGAAGGCGAGGCGTGATGACAATGCTATGACCCCCGCCCCCGGGGGGCCCGTCTCATCCTCCCCCTGGCCCTGTTTGCATACCTATCTAAGCGGGATGCAACTCCAGCGCGCAGTTTTTACGAGGGGAAGTGGCTCCAGCAGCTTATGCCGACAGAAAGGGTGGGCTCCAGCACCCGGTTGACGATGGGCATTGGTTCCAGCAGCCGACGGCGTGGGCTTCAGCACACAGTTTTTACGAGGGAAAGCCGCTCCAGCAGATTACGCCTGCAAGGAGGCTGGGCTGTCGTCTGAAAGGGCAGCCAGGGCGACCCACGCCCCAGCCGCGAACCCACCCACAGTCCGACAAACATTGCACTGGCAAAATATTCACCGAACTGTAGGATGCCCGAAAGGCTAGAACGCATCCAGTGACTTGTGATCCTCGACGACGATGACCGACGTCGACGACTATGACCGACGACGACGACGACGATGACGACGACGACGACAATGGACGACGACGACGACGACGACGACGACGAGGTTCCCGGAGATCTCCGCAGTAGTCGGAAAGGCGTCCAGAGTCCCAAGAAGGGTTGAAGATGCCCGGAAGCCTCGACCCTCCGTTCTCTGGGGCGTTTCGTCATAAGGGGAGTGGCGATAGACGAGGGGAGGATCGCAGGCTGCAGTGAAGAGGCCCCGCAGGGGCCCCCTGCGACCTCGAAGGTTCACGAAAGGTGCACATTTCTTCTTCCCCCTCCACCTTCACCGGTGGCCACATGCGAACCCTGCCCCACCACCCCACGAACCCAGAGGGGGGAGGTGGGTTTCACCTCGTTCGGGAGGCCCCGAGCGAAGGGAGCCCCACCTCCCGCCTCGGAGATCGCGGAGTGGTGGGGTGAGATTCGCATGCGGCCTCCTACTTTCATCCCCCCAGTGAGTCGGGTTGACCCAGAAGGGGGTCCAGCGACAAGGGGGTGGTGCAATCGATCCGGTGCCATAAATTCGCGGGGGTGCAATACATCTGGGGCGTGCAATACATCCCCCGGCGCAGATGTATGGCTGGGCTTTCGCGTGCAGCACCTGCGCTGCAAGACAGTGTCCTCTAATCCTCCGCCGCGGTACATCTGCGCAGAGTAGAGCTGCCCCAGAGGCCGCCCGAAGGGGCGGCAGCCGCTTGGTTCGTCGCGGCAGGGCGGGAACGAGGAGGAGGAGGAGGAGGAGGAGGAGGAGGAGGAGGAGGAGGAGGAGGCCGAGCCCTGCAAAAGAGGCGCGCCGCGCCCCCCCTTTTTTGGGGCCGCCCGAAGGGCGGCAGCGGCCGCTCCTCGGGGCCCTCGCTGCCCAGACCCCCCCCCCCCCTCGCGGCGCCCCGCGGCGCGGCTAACGACCCCCCCCCCGCCAGACTCGGTGGAGGGGCGGCCGCTGTGGGCCGCGGCGCGGGGCGCCTGGCGTTCTGTCGGGCGCGTCCCCCTACAGGGGGATTTTCGACGGAAGTTTTTTTTTTTTTACAAAAAAACAGAAAAGCAACAAAAATAGTCCAACAATAGTCCCCGAACTATGTTTGGATTATGTTTGGTGTACATTTTTTATTTGTCGTCGAAAATCCCCCTGTAGGGGGACAGGCCCGACTTAAGCCTGGCGACCGCCCGTCGTCGAGGGGGGGGGGGGGAGGGGGAGGTGCGCAGGCTCCGGGGTGGCAGGCCTCCCGTCGTCGAGACGAGCAGCACGACGCCTCCGACCCTGGCGTCGAGGGGCCGTCCAGGACCAACGGCGTGCACGTGCACACTGGTGCTCTCCCCCTGGCGGAGGTGCAGCGCCAGAGTCGCGAGTCGCGGGCAGCGAACATGTGAACTGCCAACCTGCGTTGAGGGCGTCACTCGAGAGTGACAGCGACCCTGGAGGGATGCCTTCAAGATCTTCCGGGGGGTTGCCGGAGAGGTGTGCAGCAACGACCCCCCCCCCAGAACCTGATCCTCAAAGTGCAAGTCGGTACTGCTTTTTGACACGCGGGCGGGTGGGGCGGGGCACGCCTCGGGCCGGTCCGCAGTCGGGCGGGGGAGGGGGTGCGTATGAATGAGGAGCGTGATCGAGGCTGGTGAAGGGCCCCCCCGCCCGCTGGGCGAGGCCCTCTGCGTGAGCCTGCTGGACATGTACGGCCACAACTGCTGCAGCCGGCTGCCTGGGTCTCCCGCCCTCGCCGCCTGCCGGGGGCGGGCCCAAGTCGGATGAGGAAAAATCAGCCTGGCGAAGAACCCAACCGTGTGCGGTTGTGGGCCTAGCCGTTGTATGCACCGCATTCGGTGGGGCTCCATGTGAGGCTGCGAGGAGAGTGAGGGGTGTGCCAAAATGGGCGCGGCGGGCGCACGCGAACGCTGGCATTTGGGCCTTCGGTGAGGCCCCCTCCGGGGCCACGAAACGCGTGTTGGGTGGGCTAAAATGGGCGCGGTGGGCGCATGCGAACGCTGGCATGTGGGCCTTCCGTGGAGCTCCCTATGGGGCCACGAAGCGTGTGAGGGGTGTGCCAAAATGGGCGCGCTAGGCGCATCGGCCTTGCGGTGGGGCTCCCTGTGGGGTCACGAAACGCGTGTTGGGTGGGCCAAAATGGGCGCGGTGGGCGCATGCGAACGCTGGCATGTGGGCCTTCGTGGGGCTCCCTATGGGGCCAGGAAGCGTGTGAGCGGTGTGCCAAAATGGGCGCGCTAGGCGCATCGGCCTTGCGGTGGGGCTCCCTGTGAGGTCACGAAACGCGTGTTGGGTGGGCCAAAATGGGCGCGGTGGGCGCATGCGAACGCTGGCATGTGGGCCTTCGGTGGGGCTCCCTATGGGGCCAGGAAACGTGTGAGGGGCGTGTCAGAGAGGGCGCGTTGATTGCATACGAACGCTGGCATGTGGGCCTTGGGTGGGGCTCCCTATGGGGCCACGAAACGTGAGAGCGGTGTGCCAAAATGGTTGACTGGTTCGGAGGGCAGAAAGGCAGGGATCGGAGGAGGAAGGAGGAGGGGGGAGGGGGCAGCGGGAGTGAGTGAGGCGGCGCGGGGCGCTGTCTCTTCAAAACGAGGACCCAACACCACAGGATGGTTGGGGAAATAAGCACAGAGAAGAGCCGATGTCCGTACAATCAAGGTCCCTGAGATCCTGGCGGTTTAATTTTGTTCGAGCCAGGCGTTTTCGCTCCAGTTCGGGCCCCGGGACCCTCAAGGATCGTCTGGCTCGAAAAATGGCGCAGAAAGATTGGGTCTGGGGGTCTGGTCGAGAATTGTTTTGCGATGTTGCAATGCCTTCGTCGGATCTATAGGGGCAACGAAACTCCAGACACAATATTGAAACATGCGGGGGGCCCTGGAGTCTGGTGATCGTTTTTTATTCGTTGTTTCGCCGATCGGCGCGGGCCCTCGCACACCCCCCTCCCCCCCTCCCCCCCCTTATGGAGTAGATCTTGGCTGTTTTGGGCGCCTGGTTCGAGCAGGTGGAGCCTCCCCCATCATCGACGCACTGCTGCAAACAGTCGCATTGCGCAGAGATCTGGAGCCAGAGCCCCCCCTGCCCCTCCAATGCCGAAACGCCGAATAGAAAAACGCCCACATGCCACCGCACGAGCGCGGAAGAGTCGCGACGGACGGCTTCTGCAGATCCTCTCGGCGTCCAGGGGCCTCGGCCAGGCCCCGCGAGGCCTTCCGAAGCCAGCGCAGGGGGAAAGGCCCGCGCCCAGGAAAGGGGCCCGGGCCTCCAGGGGTGAGCGTTGCGATAAGAGCACGTCGTCGGATCGGCATGGACCGAACGTACCAATACGGAGTGTGAGCGCGTGTGTGTTTGTGTTTGTGTGTGTTGTGCGCGTGTGTGTTTGTGTTTGTGTTTGTGTGTGTTGTGTGCGTGCATGCGTGCGTGTGTGCGTGCGTGCGTGCGCGTGCGTGTGCGCGTGCGTGTGCGCGTGCGTGCGTGTGTGTGTGTGTGTGTGTGTGTATGTGTGTGGGGGTGTGTGTGCGTGCGTGAGTGCGTGCCTTCGTGCGTGTGCATGTGCGTGTGCGTGTGTGTGTGTGTGTGTGCGTGTGTGCGTGTGTGCGTGTGTGCGTGCGTGTGCGTGTGAGCGTGTGTGCGTGTGTGCGTGTGTGCGTGTGTGCGTGTGTGCGTGTGAAAGTGTGTAAGTGTGTAAGTGTGTAAGTGTGTAAGTGCGTGCGTGTGTAAGTGTGTAAGTGTGTAAGTGTGTAAGTGTGTAAGTGTGTAAGCGTGCAAGTGTGTAAGTGTGTAAGTGTGTAAGTGTGTAAGTGTGTAAGTGTGTAAGTGTGTAAGTGTGTAAGTGTGTGCGTGTGTGCGTGTGTTCGTGTGTGCGTGTGTGCGTGTGTGCGTGTGTGCGTGTGTGCGTGTGTGCGCGTGTGCGCGTGTGCGCGTGTGCGCGTGTGCGCGTGTGCGCGTGTGCGCGTGTGCGCGTGTGCGCGCGCGTGTGCGCGTGTGCGCGTGTGCGCGTGTGCGCGTGTGCGCGTGTGCGCGTGTGCGTGCGCGTGCGCGTGCGCG